CCCAAGTTCAAATCCAAGCCTATCCAGCGCTAAAGTCCTGCTCTTTTCACAATATTATGTTGTCTCCTTTGTTTCCTGGCCACTCATAGTAGAGTCTCCTAAAAGCAGTCTGTTACTGCTTTTCTGAATGTGAGAAAACCAATGGAAAGTAATTTGTCCCCACCGCATAAACATTTTTAATTATATTGAGGCATGGAAATGTTTAAAGTAGTTTGCATTGGAATTGAAAAACTGAACTATGAGTTTCTTCCACTTCATTAAAAAGTTACTTAATCTTTTACATTGTGCCCTACATAAAAGCTGAGCAGAATTTTATCAGGCAATTGCCTCAAAGTTATAATCTGGACAGTCTTTCTGTAATAAAATCCATATGTCATTGGCGAAAGGTGCAAAGCCCTGGCAGAGAGGGCTGGTCTCGAGAGAGATTCTGCACCCAATCTCGTTAACCAGGGTGCCTCTGGTAATCCCTCATCCCCTCACCAGTGAGAAATCAATCTGTACCACTGAATCTTTTTCAACCAGCCACCAGAAAATTTACTGCAGAGAAGGCAGTTTGGGGATAGTCAATGTGGAAGGGGAGCTAGAAGCAAGGCTAAACGTAGGATGGAGGAATTGGAGAGTCTAAAGGAGAGATTATATTAAACCACACACCACCTTCAGAGCAGGCACGGTGTAGTCCTCCTTTCAGCCCTGACCTTTCCAAGCAGACCCAGGTGTTTACAGCTGCCGTGACCTGATAGCCCTGGAAAAACTATGAAGCGGGGGACGGTTAATAGAAACAGTGTAAACCTGGAAGTTGATTGTAGTCTATCCATTTGCCATCTCTCAGTGTGTAGTAGCCAGTCCCCTCCCTACACTCTCTGCAGCATTTCATGTGTTAACCCTATGCTGACAGTCTCAATTGTGACTTTCTCAATTTGTGATCTATGTACACTATAATAGGGCCTGTAAATCATGACTTGACGTAGGGGTCATGCTTCTCTCCTGCACAGCATACACCAGTGGCTGATGACCAGTGGACCCCTCTTGGCGTAGTTATTAGAATGAAAGCAATGTTACCTTCCTGTTAAATCTTGTAATCTTAGCAATCCAGAATCAGAAAATAGTTGACAGGCCGGACCCAGTGGCTCATGCCTATAATCCTAGCACTTTAGGAGGCCAAGGTGGGCAATCACCTAAGGTCAGGAGGCCAAGACCAGGCTGGCCAACATAGTGAAACCCTGTCACTACTAAAAATACAAAAAATTACCCAGGCATTGTGGTGCATGCTTGTAATCCCAGCTACTTGAGAGGCTGAGGCAGGAGAACTGCTTGAACCCGGGAGATGGAGGTTGCAGTGAGCCAGTCACTTGAACCTGGGAGGCAGAGATTGTAGTGAGCTGAGATTGCACCATTGCACTCTGGCCTGGGCAACAAGAGCAAGACTCTGTCTCAAAAAAAAAAATTAGTTGACAGATTTCACTGACTCTAGATAACACTCTCTCTCCCAATCTTGTTGTCTCTAGAATTGTTTTCTATATAATACATTATGGGGAACAAAGAACCAGGAGAAAATGGAGGAACTGGGAGTGCCAAGCTGAAGAACATGCAGTCTCTTACCCTAGCCATTCATTCTAGAATTATACCAAGCTATAACCATTGTGAAGAAGAAGGGACAGAACTAGGCAGGGGGAAATAGAAACAGCTTTCTCTTCTCTGTAAGCAGGCAGTAGTCAACTCTAAAGGTTTTTGCCAAAAGAGATTTGAAATTTCTGGTGGGAGCTTAAAAAGCTAAGAGTAAAATACATTTATTTATTAAACCTTACTAGAAGAGGGGTGTGTGTGTGTGTGTGTGTGTGTGTGTATGTGTGTGTGTGTGTGTGTGTGTGTAGACGAGAAATACAGAATAGTAGCAGAAGGCTGTCTCCCTACTCCTAATGGGATTTTGTAGCAGCATGTGCAAGTTTGTTTCAGAAGTCAAAAATGAACAGATGTTGGTATAAATTACCTCTGCGTCTGATGTCTTGCAAATTAAAAGCGCGGTTGGCATCACTAAACAATTTCACTGGGTTTGGGGGGTGCGGTTAGTGGGTGGTGATTACTGTAGCAGGTCGGTAAGAATCTTCGCACTGCAGCAGAGCAAGGATAAAGAAATGAGGAATAAAATAAGGGCTATATGAATTAATCAGAAATGTTAACATCTCTGATGACAAGTGAACAGGAGGGCACGTGCTCTGGAGCAGCCCCTGACCCACAGCAATTTCTCTGTGCACAAAAAGGGGTTGGTGCTTAGCATCTGATTTATAGGGCACAGCCCTCTTTTAGGGAGCGGCTGTGTCATACATTCGTATATCTCCTATATGGGACTGGCGAGTAGGAAAACTTTCTCTCCTCCCATGTAGGAGATGATGTCTTTTGAATTACTTCTACTTTTACAGTGGTTTCCTGCAGCTCTGTGTACTTGGATTAGGTTGAAGGGGGAGGAATGATTGAGTAGAAAAGGGTTGTTAAAAAGGATTGGTTAAATTCAAGGAGAGCTTGCCGCTGAGAGACTTCAGAATATCCATTTATTTTTCCTTTTAAGCCCTTTTGACCCCTTAAATAGTTTGGGTCTTTTAAAATTCCAAGTCTTAAAATATTGGTCATTTTGCCATTTGGGGAAAAGCAGTAAGGAGTTGGTGGGTCTGAAGGTCAGCAGGCAGAAATCATTAGTTAGAGCACTGCAGTGCTCCAGGCCCACGATTTTTGGAACAAGGCTCTGTTCTCTCCAGAGGAGTTTTGTATTGCCTGTGTCTGGTTTCCAGAGTTTCTGCTTCTAGCCATGGTGCAGGATCATTTGTTACGTGTTGTTTAAACTTGAGAATAGGCAGGTAACCCATCTAGTAGAAATAAATGGGACCCAATCTGCCCAAAAATATAAGTAAATTTCCTTTTCCTTCAAGTTGAGGGAAAAGATTCCAAGGAATGGAATTTTTTTTTGTTTCCTAGCCTCCCTTTGCACAATTCGTTTGTTCATTCATTCATTCACTCAGAAAATACTGGGTGTGAGAGAACTTGCTTACCCACCTCTGGAAAATGTCGTGTTAATGATTAGCACTATACCAAGCATGTTCATTGCTAACATCCAAGAGAAAAGTAGGGTATTAATATGCTCTTTGTTACAAATGAAGAGACTGAGGCTCAGAGATCTGCCCAGCCCAAGGTGTCACTCTGCTGCTAAGTGCTAGAGCTGGAACGTAAACTGAGTTCAAATCCCATGTTCTCTGCAAGAAACCGATGCTACCTCCTATGGGTAAGATAGTACGTGATTGGATTTTCTCTAGAGTAGTCCTTGACCACAATCTCTCCATGAACTTGGCATTAATTTGCATTAAGGGAAATGGTTTTTCTTGCCAAATAAACAAGGTACATTTAAAAAGACTGCCATCATGTAGAGAATGGAGCACTCTTTGTTGATGGAAAGGAAAGAAGCTAACATTTTTTGCATTTCTACTTGGTTCTAGTTCTTTGGTGTATTATCATTTATCCAGTCAACACTTATTCAGCAGACACTAGGTCTAGCACTAAACAATCCCTGCCTTCAGTTTTTACATTTTAGTTGAGGAAGACAACTAAATAAACAAGTAATTGCATGCAAGTCTTACAGGAACTTTGCTTGTGCAGGATTTGCTGTAAAATCACGAAGGAAGGAATGGTCTCTTTGATTTGGGCCAGGGTGGGGTCGTGGGTACATGAGGCAAGACCCAACACTGGGCTTCGATGCCTAGTTAATGGAATTGCCTTTCCCTTTGTTGGAGCACAGGAACTAGTGAAAGATGGGGAATGTATAAACTGAAGTTACCAAAAGCCTCCCTGTGGTGCCAGAGGTTGTGTTGTTTTATTTCTTCATTGTACAAGAAAACAAGAAACTGTTTAACTTAGGTTGGGGCAGAGGGAAGCTGAGCTGGAGGCCATTCGTCTAGCTCCATTTGCTCTGGACTTGGGAAAGGCAACAAGGAGGCCAGGATGAAGGTCCTTCTCATTCCTGTGAGTGCCTCCCCAGCCGCCTCACTTATTTGGCCAGGATGGAGACATGTTCTGGGGAGACCACACAGCCTGCCCTGTGCCTACTGCATGGTTCCAGAAGGCCTGGCTTTCCAGAGCCAGCCATCAACCATCAGAACTTTCTGCACTGTTAAATCCATTTAAGAAATCTAAAAACATGGCCTTGCAGGATGAGGATGAGGAAGGGGGTGTTATACTGTATATGCTTTCTGAGATCTAAAATGGGGGACCTCTGGAGTGGCCCTTGTAATTGAGAAATGTTTTACTTTCAATTTGGAGCCTTATATGTAGGAAAGTAGCTGTATAAACCCACTTGTAACTACAGCATTCAAAGATTGATGGTGCTGAAAGCCGGAGAAAGACACATAAACCTTGCCTGGCTATATTAAATATCTAAGGACTGACAATGCCAAGGGAGAGAAGACCAAAGCTCTATAAACCCTACTTTATGACACCATCCACGGATGAACTGCACTGAGGGAATATAAACCCTGTTATATTACAGTATCCAGGGACTACCACTGCTGAGAGATGGGGTAAATGATCTCTAATTTTGATTTGAGATTATAAATGTCCAGAGACCAACAACCCAGAGAAGACTCTAATCTTGGCTGGATTTTAGGCTCCAAGAGCAAACCCCTGAGATAGTGAACATGAGTATTAGGTTCGATTCTTGAGACAGATAGGTTTTTGGGGAATTCCCTGGTGATTTGTTTAAAGGTGGACGATAAACTCTTTCCCAGTCATTTGGCGTGTGTCTCAATTGCCAACTTCAGAGTGGCTTTGTACCATTTTAGTTGTCTGTAGTGGTTTGTTTTCACCCTTTTTTAGGAGGTTAGTTGGTGGTGATTGAATCTGTTGTGAAAGCGACTTGATATACAATTTAAATCAATCTGCATTTTGAAATTAAATCTTCCTGTGATTCTTTTTTCAGATCTTAGGTTTTCATTGATCATTTGTTTGCTTTGTGATTCCAGCCAGAGAGATGACACGAGGGAAATTCCTCAATATTCTAGAGAAGCCCAAGAAGTAGCAGCTGCTTGCCGACAGGATGTCCTGGAGTCCAAAACCAAGCTCCCTTCCCGGTGCAAGTCTAACAATGCACACCTCCCTGCTTCCTGTGGAGCGGCCAGAGGGCGTGCCTCCAGGACTACCCCTGCTCCTGGCACTCTTCGCCTCTGAGGACATTCAGCAGCAAGAGAAGAATCTGCCCTACCCAGGGATCATTGCAGTTACTCAGTCCAGCTTCCAGACTTTAACCTTCTTAGCCTTGGATATTGGTAACAGCTGAGGGCATATCATTCTTAAAGGTCAAAGTCCTGCTTTCTCATGTCCGCAGTGATTCAGGAGCCCCAGGATCTTACGGTTGATTTGACTCAGTGATGGCAAAGCCAGTTGTGACAAGTTGATTGGATGGGTTCTTTTGGATCGTCCTTGATCTCTTAGGAAGTGTTTATGATGCGAGGAGACCAGAGACCGACTAGATTCTGGACCAGACCGTGCAGCCTGACCTGTGAACTCTCCAGTATATATTAAGTTCCAAGAATCCCCAGCTGGAGAAACCAGAATCTTCTCGAAATGTACACCTGCTTTTTAAAACTTCTATACCTCTTACGATAGTCCCATTTGCTTTTCATTCCTTACATCCCAGCCCTATCTTCCAGTTCTGAGTTCGGGCAGAGGGATCCCTGAGTCCCTCCTGGAATTAGCTTGTGTAGTGAAAGGCCCATGCAAGGTTGCCTTGGGGTCTAGATCTGAAAACCAATGTGAAGGTAACAGAAAGGACTTTTGAGTTCTAATTAATCTGTTACAGATTCAAGCAAGAGAGTCAGTAGAGCCTCAAAGACAGGAGAAACTGGATGATTGACAGGAGTTTACATTTGGTTGGAAGCTAGAAGCCCTAACTGATCTTAAAGGAACATGCTATGGGATGGTAGGATTGTCCCCTCTGACAACACATATGAGATAATTCACCTATATGATAGAAACACACACACACACGAAAGAGAGTCTTCTGACTTAAATACAGCTTTCATGGAGTTCTTCACCACTTATCTGTCTCTGTGTTAGAATCTGAAAATCTAGCCCATGGGTAACTATTATCTGTCTTCTGCGTATGTCTCATATAAGCCAGCCCCCAGCATCTGACGTTTTGAGAAGTGCATGGAGTTTCCTAAACTTTGCACTAAAGAATATCCCAGGGCCAGGTGTGATGGCTCACACCTGTAATCCCAGCACTTTGGAAGGCTGAGGCAGGCAGATCATGAGGTTAAGAGATTGAGACTATCCTGGCCAACATGGTGAAACCTCATCTCTACTAAAAATACAAAAATTAGCCTGATGTGGTGGTATGCATCTGTAGTCCCGCTACTCGAGAGGCTGAGGCAGGAGAATTGCTTGAACCCAAGAAGTGGAGGCTACAGTGAGCCGAGATCATGCCACTGCACTACAGCCTGCAGCCTGGGCAACACAGCAAGACTCTGTCTCAAAAAAAAAAAAAAGGATATCCCGGCCAGGCATGGTGGCTCATGCCTATAATCCCAGCACTTTGGGAGGCCGAGGCAGGCAGATTACTTGAAATCAGGAGTTCGAGACCAGCCTGACCAACATGGTGAAATCCTATCTCTACTAAAAATACAAAAATTAGCTGGGTGTGATGGTGCATGCCTGTAGTTCCAGCTACTTGGGGGCCTGAGACACGAGAATTGCTTGAACCCAGGAGGTGGAGGTTGCAGTGAGCCGAGATTATACCACTGCATGCCAGCCTGGGGGATAGAGTAAGACTCTGTCTCAAAAAAAAGAAAAAAGAGAATATCCCTGTGGCAATAGTCTCATGGTGTTTGGACACAAGAAAAGTTTTCAAGTTTTGAGTTGTGAGTGTTTGCTAGGGCATGGCACCCTTCAGTTTAACAGCTGATCCATTAACCGTTTTCTGACATTTGTGCCTTGTTCTCATGCTAGAATTAATGCTGGATTTTTCTCTCATTTGACCATCCATGTAGTTTTACTTATTGAAAGGAAAAAAGACTGAACACAAGATATAAAAGATGAGTAGGAGAAGCAAAACATTCTCCTGGGGTGCTACATAGAAGGTTAGGTTGTAGGGGCTTTGATTTTAAGTTAAACTTATTATTGATATTTCTGTATCTCATTAAATGCGGTTGAAGAGAGTGTGTGTGTGTGTGTGTGTGTGTGTGGCCAAAAAATAGTGCCATAATGTCAAACTCTTCCTTTGCTCTGTTTTTGAGAGTTGATGACATCAGTCACTTTTAAGTGTTTGGGGAAATTGAGTGGGATACCACCCCCAAACCAAGACAAGTCTGTAACTGGAAGCCAGGTAGTTGGTTTTCTGGTCTGCTTTGGCCTCTTTCTTTTACCATCATCCTATTCACCAGCACTTAATGTAAGTAGATGTTTTAGAATTGCAATATTTATTGGTTTTGTATTTGTCATCCTTAGAAATGTTAATGATGTATTTTTATATTGACAATATAAATTTATGTACAATGTGTGTGTATATGTATTTCAGGATGTTAGAGGATTGTACTTTGTATGTGATAGTTTCTGTGTCTTCATAATAAATATGTCCCTTTTACAGGAGGGTGAGTTTTTCCTCAAAGGGCCAAGTTGCATATTTAAAGAACAAACCTCATCAGAAAGTACAACTATAGCCGGGCGCGGTGGCTCACGCCTGTAATCCCAGCACTTTGGGAGGCCGAGGCGGGTGGATCACGAGGTCAAGAGATCGAGACCATCCTGGTCAACATGGTGAAACCCCGTCTCTACTAAAAATACAAAAAATTAGCTGGGCATGGTGGTGCGTGCCTGTAAACCCGGCTACTCAGGAGGCTGAGGCAGGAGAATTGCCTGAACCCAGGAGGTGGAGGTTGCGGTGAGCCGAGATCGCACCATTGCACTCCAGCCTGGGTAACAAGAGCGAAACTCTGTCTCAAAAAAGAAAAAAAAAAAGAAAGTACAACTATAATGATAAATAACCCACTGTCTTCCCCCTTAACATACTTAGTCGATAGTTTGGGGCTTTACAGTCATCTACTTGGCCTCCTACCTTCCAGTCTATCCTACCACTGCTCAACTCCCTAAAGTCATATTTAGAAACCTTTAATACCTTCCCGGGTCTACTAATGAAGTCTCAATCTCTTGACCTGGCATTTTAAGACTCTCTACATGTAATCCTAATCACCCTTCAGTTTGGTTTTCTTCCTATCGCATATATGAAGTCTGTTCCAGTTACTCTGAACAAGTCCCGGTTTCTCACCTGAGTGCCTTTGCTCCTGCCTTTGAGTTCCTAGAAGGTCTTGCATTCTTTTTGCATCTATCAAACCTATGCTTCCTATAACCCCTGATGATCCAGCTGGAAATGGTCTTTACTCTGCATTCCTATAACATTTACCAATATCATCCCTGTGACTGTTACCACACTCTGCCTTATGTTTAAGTGGTCTAAGTACTTTTTTTTTTTTTTTTGAGATAGTTTCTCTCTGTTGCCCAGGCTAGAGTGCAGTGGTGCAATCTTGGCGCACTGCAACCTCTGCCTCCCAGGTTCAAGCAATTCTCTGCCCCAGCCTTCCTAGTAGCTGGAATTACAGGCAGGTGCCACCACCCTGGCTAATTTTTGTATTTTTAGTAGAGACGGATTTTGCCATGTTGGCCAGGCTGGTCTTGAACTCCTGACCTCAAGTGATCTTCCCATCTCAAGCTCCCAAAGTGCTGGGATTACAGGCATGAGTCACTGTGCCTGGCCCTGAGTACATATCTTATTGCCCTACTAAATTCAAAGCTCCTCGAGGTATGGCTGTCTCCTACACATCTAGTTCTTCAGTGTCTTCTTTGAACTGGGGGTTCAAACCCTATTTGTTTGCAGACTTCCGGTTACACATGATAGATTGAAAACAAATATTTATCTGCCACCTACTAATCCGTTAGTGTGGGTTCCTTTTCAACCATGTTCAGAACTAGAAAAGAGGAAGTACTCATTACTGCTACTGCTATCCCCCCTTGATAGTTTACCTGCTCTAGACCAGAGTATGCCCTTTTAAAGAAAGCATTACATTTTAAGGAAAGCAAATTGCTTCTCATCATAGGCCCATCATTTATTTCAAAAAAAAAAAAAACCAGAAAACAAAACATCAGGATGAACAGTAGATTTCTGTGATCTAGAAAAGCATGGCTGATTGACTAAGTAGGGACAGTGTTATTAATGTTCTAAGCCTTTAGAGACTGTTTTTCCAGTAAATAATTGTTTGTTATTTGCCTACAGATATTTTTTCCCTTTTCCTTTGCCATTTCAAATATCATCCTGTGAAGCCTCCAAGCTGTGAGCAGCAACATTCTGAAAAGCATAGTGTTGGAGCTTGGAGACACGTTTGCAGATTCTTATTAACATTTTTTCTTAGCAGCACTCTCATTACTTCTTGCTGTCTTCGGTCTCGCAGAGTCTAGGCCTCTGCTGATTTGCTTGGCCTGCCTTCCATAGGTTAGAGCACTTAAAGTTCACAGGGTATTAATTGTGTTGATATTGAAATGCCATCGTTCATTTTTCTCTATCTTTTCGTTACCCAATTGTCATATTTTTTAAATGGACTAACTGCTCCATGGTTTTAGTTCTCTAGATGCTCTTCTGGACTCTCCCAGATCAAGGCAGTGAAAATGGAACTGATGAAAGACATTCCCTTGTCCCTATGGCTTCAGAAGGGTGTTTGGACTTCCACAGGAGTTTTGAAATAAAGCCAAGAAATTTCATTTCCAGTGGGTTGCTCTGACCCCTCCTATTTCCTCCAGGATTAAGGCATCACAGGAAGGTGAATAGGGAGAGCAGGAAGCAAGGAAACGGACAGCTGGGTCAAGACGGTTGGTCCCAGAAGCCAAATAACAGTTTCTTAGCAGTTCTCAGCTTCTGCACTAACTCCATCTCCAAGCATTTGGTTATGTTCTCCATTTTCTGTTTTCTTCATCCTGTGAGAGCTACAAGGATACCTGATCCCTATGTGGGCTTTGTTTCATCAGAGTGTTGCAACCCTCGGCCCCAGAGAGTGGGCAAAGAGTGGTGGCCCCACAGTTGTAAGTTCTGATGGACTGGAACTGACTTTCCTAACTGTGCAGGCTTTTGGCATTAAGGGTGTCTGTCCCTATCTATGCCTAAAGAGGCCACTGGCCTTCCTACCCTTTGCCTGGCACTTTTTCCTCTCGAGCAGCTGGGGGCTTCAGAAGATACCAGGTGTAACCGTGAGGCTCCTGGTTGGCATGAGTGCTGGCAGAGCCTGTTAATTAGCACAGGAACACCCCAGTGCTCCATTAGCCAGGCCAGGCATTTGGAACCTTCCCCTCCTGCGGGCCTCTTCCTCCTAATGAGAGCTGGAAGAAGGGCCCTCACAAAACACTGCCTCAGAATAATATTCTGCTTTGTCCCCACCAGTAACCAGGGCTGACAGGATCACTCTGTCCATTTCTCTTCTAATTAGCACAATTCCAGCATGGCCTGAGCCAGCAAATAGAGAAAAGCGATCAAAAGCGATCGGACAACCGTACCGAATCACAAACACAAAGAGGGCCATTCCCTGTAATTAGGTGAGACAATTCCTCAGTCTTTTCTCGGCTGGAGTTTGCCGCTAAGACTCTTGCTGTTTAGGTCCCAGCAACACAAGTTACATGTCTCCCTGGGACACTAATAAGCCCCAAATTGTCTTCCGCTTCACACAACTCTAGCCAGAGGACAGACACGGGGTGGTGGGGCAGGTGGCGGGGGAGGGGGATGGCGCAATGCAGTGAGGGGACAGGGTCTCCCAACAAGCAGCTGCTGTAATATTTCCCCAACTTCCAGAAGCAGACACGGGCTGTGGGCAGAGAGGTAAGAGTCAGTTGGCTTGAAAGAACTGCTCTGGGCACAGCCTGGCCCCTGTGAACTTGAGCTGGAGTCTGAAACACTGAGAATTTCTGACCCTCAGAGGAAGCCCCCTCTTAGCCATTTGCCCCACCCTGTTTACTCACCACCTTCTGCCTGTGGCCTCCTCACTCCTTTCACCTCTGCAGACTGGTGGCATCATCCCGGGAACTACATTGAGCCCTTCACAAATTGTAACCCCTACGCAACTATAGTTACCATTGCAAAGAAAGCTAACATAGCAACGAGTGAATTCTGCCCTAGAAGACCGCATGATCTGGAAGGGGCGCCCACAGCCCCCTCACCCTGTCCCGCATTTCTAGCACCCGTCACCTTTATGTCTCTGGTTGTGTCTCCAGCCCCTGACCACTATCTCAATTCGCTCCCTTGGAAGATACCTGTTTTTTTTTTTTTAAACAGAAAAGTGGCCCATCTGCCAGGCCAAGAAGCCGTAACGGGCCGCACTCCATGTGGCTCAGAGGTTGGCCACTTAATGAACAACAACAGCTCCCCCAGGATTGCAGCCCATTACAGGGATTACTTAGGGCGATACAGCCTACAGCCGTAAACTTGGTCATAGCCAGGGACAAAGGAATGCAGGGGAGAGTGGCAGATGGAATCTCAATTAAACTCAAGTTGGGAGTGGAATTGGGCTCACATATTTTCATCTCTCTCTTGCCCTCTGCTTTCTGTCTGATCTATACCTGATGTTTCTGAAACTGACCTCCAAAACCAAAAGAGATTCAGTTATGTAGAATCCAAGGAGCCAAAAAATGCAAGTAATCAGAGTTGCATTTTTCCACCTTCTTTTTCTGAGACACAGAGAGGATAATGATAAGATTTGACTTTTTAAGTAACTTTTGGGACATGCCAAAGAATTGATCCAGATTTGTTCAATTTCCTACAGTTTCTTTGGTTATAAATCGAACTACCTGGCACATAATAGGTGCTAAAATAAGAATTTGTTGAAAGAATGAACTGTGCCTTGACATTCAGCGTTCATAGCCTCATTGCTGGTCAAAGATATAATGCGTGCTTGGGGCCGGGCGCGGTGGCTCACGCCTGTAATCCCAGCACTTTGGGAGGCCAAGGCAGGTGGATCACCTGAGGTCAGGAGTTCGAGACCAGCCTGTCCAGACCAACATGGAGAAACCCTGTCTCTACTAAAAATACAAAATTAGCCAGGCATGGTGGCGCATGCCTATAATCCCAGCTACTTGAGAGGCTGAGGGAAGCGAATCACTTGAACCTGGGAGGCAGAAGTTGCAGTGAGCTAGAGGTGATGCCGTTGCATTCCAACCTGGACCACAAGAGTGAAACTCCATCTCAAAATAAAAAGTGACTGAGAGAGAGGCAGGGGTGATCTTGTCTAAGTTACTTCTCTCTAAGCCTTGGTTTCTTTAGGACTTTTTCCATTTTAGAGAGTCATATCAGCATCATGGATAGGGCGCAAGCTCTGAAGTCAGGCTGCCTGGGTGCAAATCCTGTTTCTGCCATCTACTAGCTGTGTGACTTTGGGTAAATTGCTTAACCTCTCTGTGTCTTGACTTGCCCATTTATGAAGTGGATCCAATAATGGCCCCTAACTACCAGTGTAGTGGTAGAGATTAAATGAGTATTGCAAAGTGTTTAGAGTGGCGCATGGCATATCTTACCCATTAGGTATATAATTGCTTGATGGATAGATATATAAAATAGATTCCATGTAGTATTTAATTTTTTATTATACTCACATTTGTTAAAAATTGACAGTCCCTAGGCCAGGCACGGTGGCTCACACCTGTAATCCCAGCACTTTGGGAGACTGAGGTGGGTGGATCACTTGAGGTCAAGAGTTCAAGACCAGCCTGACCAACATGGTAAAACCCTGTCTCTACTAAAAGAAAAACTATAAAAAAAATTTAGCCAGGGCCTGGCATAGTAGCTCACGCCTGCAATCCCAGCACTTTGGGAGGCCAAGGCAGGCGGA